TTATTAAATTGTTTTATTTTGACGTACATAGATTAATGCGGCTTCATTAAAAATATTAAATAAATATGAATCAATATCAGAATATATCAATATATTCTAGCTAAAATATGGAAAACTGCCTCAAAATTCGTTTTCGTGAATATACACAACCATTCAAGTACAAAAATGAATGGCAAATTTACAAATTTTTTGTGTTTTTTTTTCAAAAGTTTTAAAATAAAATTCTTAAAAAATCGTTCATTTACAATATAATTTTCAAAAAGCTTATACAAAAATGTTATATTCTTATCCTTCCATATTATTTACATAATATTTTTCTTTTCGTTTTTTATTTTTTTTATAAGAAAAAGCCTTTTTATATTAGCTAAAAAGGAGATTGTAATTTTTTATGTCAACAAGTTTGTCAATTTATTTTTAATGATATTCTAATACAACTTTTATCACGTTTATCGTCGTTGTCATCGTCATCATCATCATGTTTATCATTTCAATCAATATTAATTTATATACAAAATAAATAAAAAACAAAGAATATTATAAGAATGAAGTCATTCTTAGTTTTGTTTCATTATTTTTTAATGTTATATTTTTGTTTTATGGTTATTATTGTTAGTTAGTACCATTGTTTTTATATTATTATTATTTTTTTCATACTCAATTATTGTTGAAATTGTACAACTATTATAATATAAAAAGTTTATATGGCATGAAACGAAAAACTAATAATTAGAGATACCTTTATTATTGTGTGGTAGGTATGTGTTATTTATTCCTATTTAAAAAACTAATATTATATAAAATTGTTGAACAAGATAGAAAGAATTGTGTCTGGAATTTGAATAACCCTTGCACTTAAGTATAATTATGTCAGAATAAATAATATAAATTTTGATTTTCGCACTATAAATTCGACCAATTGAAAACTTCAATTAAAGAAATTAATTCAGAATATAGAAAAAAGAATATAAATTATAAGTTTTTTTGTTTTTGTTTAATTTTAATAAATATTATTTTTTATAATGCAAGCGTAATAAATTTTCAACTTATTCAATAATTAATTTAATAGATGGCGTGCGTTTATAGTAAACAAACAAAGAACAATGAAAATAAATAAATATTTAATAAAATTGCATGACAATCGGTGATTTATTTTATTTATTGTTTTTTTTTCGCTAATTAATGAAATTAAATTTTTATTGTCTCAAATATTAAGTCATTACCAGTTTAGTGGACGCATAGAAAATGGCTTTAGTTTATTGAACTTTTAAAATATGGAATAAGTCTAAGAAAGTTTCATATTAAAGTAATAAAAATATTTTATGTCAAATTGAAATTTTGACATAATCTATTAGATCGAAGTAGTTCATCAATAATATTAATAATACTAAAATTAAAGACTATACATAAAAATATTTCAAGCACAAATCTTACATTAATTTTAAATATGAATTTCAAAATATCAATCAACAAATATCAAATATTTTTGAGTTACATAATTTGCATTTTTGATTAAAAAAGCAGTTTGTTTTTGATGTTTGATAGTCCTTGATGACAACATAATCACACGTGTTTAACATAGTGTAAATATGTATTAACATACAAATAAATGTTAAAATCAAAAAGATCTTAAATAGATTACATATAGATTAATGATTGAATACTTACTTGTCGAAGATTTAATAAATAAATTTGTATTATTTCGCAGTTACTCAAAATTCTATTAAACAAAATCATTGATTGTGTTTGTTATCAATATTCTTTTCTAAAACAAATTCCAATTAGTTATTTAACAGATATTTCTTAATAGAACTTATAGAGAGACTGAAATTAATAAAAGTTGGTAAATTATATTGCTCTATAGAATTTGTAGAAAAGCAATACATCAACTCAAATTTATTGAATTTTAGAGCATAAAACAATGGAAATTTTATGAACTAAATACATCAATTTTCAATACATTTATAATAATAGAAACGAAAAACTATAATTATTATAAAAATATTATAATGGAAAAATAATTAAACAAAAAAACCTTGAATATTAACAACAAGCCATTTATAATTATAATTCCCAGATGGCAATCAAGTCGATTATTTACGGTAAATTTATTTACTCTATAAGTATATGGTATTATGATATTTGATATATTTTATTAATTTTGATAATATATTATATATAAAACAAAACGAAATTTTTTAATGAAAATGCCAGAACATTTTGATATCTAACCTAAAATAAGCGAATTTCCATTAATTACATTCATATAAAAGGAAACAATATCCTCTATAAGTATTTATATTTTGACGTCAAAATAATTTCTAATCATTTATGTGCTATGTACACATACATAAAATTACCTATAATCATAATTATATATTTTGTCCTTCATTACACTATAAAACATAAATACATAAAGTAAAAATTATATGCTTAAAATATTTAATCAAAATGATATTCTAACACCAACTGTTATATATTCATATTCATATATCATATATTCATATTCATATAGGTACTGTAATAAATTTATAATAATATAAGGTTCATAAATTGAATAAAGATTTTTACATACATTCGCTTTTAAATACATACATATATAATATATATACATAGTATACGAGTGTTTACATAAGAAGTAAATAATTCTAACAATTATTATCAAATATTATCGTTGCACATACTCGTATAATAACTATAATGATAATAGGGTTAATTTTCCATTTTATTTGCGAAAAAACTTTATTGCTCGTCATAGCGAAAAAAATGAGCGAAAATTAAAATAGCTCTCTTAATATTTTCATACATAACGTTTATAATATCAATTGAGTGGAAACGAATCCCAATAACATTTTTCAAGAAACTTTCTAAGTATAATGAAGTTCAACTATAACTGACTTGAATAGTAATTCCAATTCTAGTAGTAGTTCTTGAATAGACCAGTTCTTATCAGAAATTTAAATATTTGAATTGTTGTAGAAATTAAATTTATTTTGTCTTTACAAATTATTTTTAAAGACTTAAAAATTTGTCATTGAATAAGATTCTGTATAATTGATTTTTTTAAATTTATTAATCGAAATTCCTTTCTTTCTAAAGATTTCCTTAATTTATACGAAATAAAATTAAACAGATCATAACGTTTTGGAATACACATATTAACCTATGTACGTACTAAGCAAACAAATTATAATGAAACTAAATATACATATATTAAATAGTCACAAATAAAGAACTAAAACTAACTTAAAACAGCTTTATTTTGCCCAATATAATATTTGCTACATATTATATAGGATACAATATGGTATAAGCACATAAAAATATTTTTAACAAACTGTTAGATAATTTTTTTCCATAATAGTTAGATTATAAAAAGTAAAAGAAAGAACATGAAAAATAACTTAACTATAACATGATGTATGAAATTAATAACGCAGGGACATATGCATATGTTACAAATTAGTGTTCCCTAATAATTTTATTTTTCCTTATATCTCATAATTTATAATAAATTTATCTGCTTAGTTTTTCCTTTAAGTTTTCAACCCAATACATATTTTGTTTTTATGTTCAGCCTTAACTTAATCCCATTGATATATTAACAATATAAGTATACATATGTATGTTCCACATGCCCATATTATGTTGTACATTTAAATAACATATGTATGTATACATATACACGTACTCTCTTCAAATTTGACTAAATTACACCACATTAGGGCAAATTACATATTAGTTTATTTACATTAATTTGTTACGATACTGAAGTTCATTTAAAAAAAATTGTTTTATCCATTTTTTTTCTTTCATAACTTCAATCCCAATAAAAGTTGTGCCACGAAAGCAACAGATTAAGAAATATTCAAATTACAAAATATAAGTTAGTATTGTCCGTCTGCAATCAATATTAGATAATTACAACCATATCAATATTATTATACCTGCATGATGAATACATATGTATATATATATTAGTATTGATTTATTAAATTAATATTGAGTAGATGTATTTACGAAATATGAAGATTTAAACATGCATATGTACACACTTACCAAAATTTAAAGTGCACATTTATTTTCCGGTGGGAATTCTTATGGTTATTCCACCCTTACTAACAATAATAACTCTTTAATAACAAAATTGGTTAGTTTTATGATTTATATACATCCCTACATATAAAATGAACAAGAATTTTTTTGTTTTATTAGTTCCTCGTATATAATCGTTTTTGGCAATTTTCTTAAAAATAAACATACAAATGTATGTGTAATTACATACCTGCCATGATTGCTTACGAGCTATTAAATTAAATATTCAATTAACTTGTTGGACGCTTTACTGAAAGCTATAAATTGTTATAAGAGGCTCAGTTTTTTGAGTTTCTAAGAATAATTGAAATATTTTGAATATTTTTGGTGTTATAAAGTATTATAATAACTGCCATTGTTTATCTTGTAATTTGAATGACTTATGAATATGATTAATTATCGAAATCTTCACATATGATATAATGTATTTTAATATAATCTAAACAAAATATTGGGGAAGGAAAATACTGTGTTATAATTATAATGGAATATTTTAAAAAGTAGCAAATAATTATTAAATATGGTTTAATATTCAAGTTCAAACACAAGTTTTGCTGTCAAAAGATTATCAATTTGCAAAAAAATATTACAGAATATAGATTATAGCCATGCCTATTTAATGAGACTTTTTGAAACCGAAAACCAAAATTGAAAATTTTATGTAAAATAAATTCACTAATTTAAAGTATTCCATTTCAAAATTTTTTTCATAGTAATTTCATATGTTCGGTTGTCAAAATCAAATGTCACAAACTTGTGGAAACGAAATCGACAAAAAATATAAAAAAGTGATTTTATTACTTGAAAATCAGAAACGGTCACACTTACATATGTACATTTGTTTGACATTTATTTTGACTTAAGTTATCTATACTTTTCTTAAAGCTTTTTTCTTGTTACATATTAGATCAATTTTTAGATCTTTGCAAGTTGCTGTCGGGTTTGCCAATGTCAGAATTTTCATAAAATTTTAATTAAAAATATATTGATTAATTCGACATTTTTTTTTTTTTAAAGTTTAAATAATCTCTAAAAAGTATTTTAAAGAAGACAAACTGAACTAAAGGAAAATAAAAATGGCAAACTCACTTATGAACTTTGCCGGTAAGGTTGTATTAATAACTGGAGCAAGTTCTGGAATCGGTGCAGCAGCTGCTATAAAGTTCTCTAGACTATCAGCACAGCTTTCATTGATCGGTCGTAAAACAGAAAATTTGAAAGAAGTTGCAAAACAGTGTAAGGAAATTAATGGACAAGATCCTCTAATAATAACTGGTGATGTTACTAAAGAGGAAGATAACGCAAGAATTATCAAAGAAACTATTGATAAATTTGGGAAATTAGATGTTTTGGTCAATAACGCAGGTATAATTGAAGTTGGAACAATTGAAAATACAAGTATGGAGCAATACGATCGCGTTATGAACACAAATGTAAGATCTATTTATCATTTAACAATGTTAGCTGTTCCACATTTAATTGAAACCAAAGGTTCCATTGTAAATGTTTCCTCTGTTAATGGATTACGTTCTTTTCCTGGTGTATTGGCTTATAATTTATCTAAAATGGCTGTTGAACAATTTACTCGTTGTGTAGCTTTAGAATTGGCTGCTAAGGGTGTAAGATGCAATTCTGTCAGTCCAGGTGTTACTGTGACTAATTTGCATAAGCGTGGTGGAATGGATGAAGAAACCTATAACAAATTCTTAGAACATTCAAAAAATACTCATGCTATGGGTAGACCAGGTCAAGCAAGTGAAGTTGCTGAAGCTATTGCATTTTTAGCTAGTGAGTGTGCTAGTTTTACTACAGGTACTTCTATCCCTGTTGATGGCGGACGTCATGCTATGTGTCCAAGATAATTTCTTGCTATGTTCTTTTTTATAATTGTTTCTTAAAACATTTAGTGTCCAAAGATGCATTTAACTCAGTCTATTTTGTAATTAAACATACAAATATTGCAAAATTTTTTATTAAAATAAATGAAAATATAAAATTTTTCTAATTGAATATAAAGTCTATAAATTTATGGCTCTAAAAAATTTGTGCTAAATTAAATGCAAATATTATTAAACTATGGGTATAATATGAATCTATAACAGTATTCACAGCAAATATTATATTTGTGTACTATACGTAAATCAAAGTATTGTGTGCATAAGAAATCTGGCCCAAGAACGTAATAGACTTCTCAAAATTCTTAAGTTTAAAGAAAATTAATTATCATATCAAAATTAAAAAATTTTAATCAAAAATTTTATATATGTATATACTTAAGTAGTAGCTATGTACATGTCATACTTCTTGCTTTTATCAATTTATTTTTAAAGTATGGTAATTTGTACACGTAATGCGTATTTTAAATAAGAAGATAAGAAAAACAATTGTTAAACAAAATTTTTATTTTTAAGCTAAAATATTTATTGATACTTTTAAAAGTCTGGAAAAAGGATCAAATTACCATAACTTGATCAAATTGTATTTTAAGTTATAATCCATTACAAATTTTCTTTCATTTTCTTTTTTCTTTTTCACTATCTTGTGTTTTTAATCAATAAATATAAAACACATTTAAAAGAGTCGAAGTAAAAAGGATAGAAAGAAGATATTTACATTTTGAAATTTCTTTCAATTTAATTAATTCTGTAGGCAGAAGAAAGTATTCTCGCACTAAAGTTAATTAAAAAAAAAATTGTATAGAAATTTACTTAAATTAACTTGATGTTAAGTATTTACATATATGAACATATACACACCTACCCAAAGCAGATACTTGTATATTATACATATTATTTACTATTGAATATTGGATACTTCGGTAAAAAATACAAAAGATTCATGTTATCCTCAACAACATCACATCTTTTTTCTTATGATATTGTTGTACTTACTTGCTTTATATTAAGACTTAAGATTCAATTTTCAGTTTAAAGATATTTGGGTTTTATTTTTTAATTTATTTTAGAAATAATAAATGTTAAAATTTCGAAAGGGACCCTCACAAGAATTTTAAAATGTAAATTTCAATTCTTATAACATTTATTTTTACCAGTATTTAAACTTTTAATGACTTTAATCAATATAATATACAAGAGAATGGATCCTTTTGTAAAACCTTTAACAAAAAATAAGTTTGTACTTAAAATGTTAAAAGAAATACGTAAATGTATCTTTTTACATATTATCATATATTATAGAAAACATTTTTTTATACGTAAAAGGAATTAATAAAGCCTTTTACTCAGAATTATATTAAAGAATTTAGTTAACTTGAATAAAAATAAAAATAAAAAGATACAAGAGCAAGTCCTCATTTGATCATTGCTTTTTTTCTTTGGTATTCCTGAAATATCAAAGAAAAGTTTGAAATAATCATGTTAAAAGAAAAATGAAAAGAGCATAAAAGGAACTTTACCTTTAAAATCAAGTCTATCAAAAATTACACTTCAAAAAATTTCAAGGATATGCTACAAGTTAAAAAAAAATCGTTTTTGTGAGTTTTATATGTTCTTTGTTATTTATTTTTTTCCTTCATTCTTTTATTGTGTGTCTTAAAACATATATGTATGTATGTATACATAAGTAGTTCTTTTCTTTTCTCGTATTGATTTTATTTTATTTTCATTTAAATTTTAAGAAGTAAAACAGTAATATTTACTTTTTTCTTTGTTTTGACTTTGTGAAGACAATGTGAAATTTTGGACAAGTGTTTTTTGGCATTTTAAAGGCTAAATATAATGATCGTTTGGACTAAAACTATTTAAACTACACTTTAAAATTAATTTAATTTTAGAATAATATCATGCATTCCTAATTATTATAAATAGCAATTTGATTGCCAATAAACTATGAAATAAATTGTCACATTGACTTATACATTGAGTCCATTTTATCAACACTTATCAATTTACGTGATAACAAAACCAAATTATAATCTCTATGCTCACTGACATCATAATATATTGTTGTAATGTAATTTTTAAGTAGAGTGTCTTGTTTTTTCCCAAATTTATACAAAATTTTAGTTATTATTTATTCATATTACTTTGAAATGACAAGTTTAGTTGATATTTTGAGAAAATGAGTTATATTATTGGGAAAATAATAAATCAAATTTTAAAAAACAAAAATTTTTCAAGATTCACAATCAGGCTGTTATAAATCATGTGTTTTACACGAAGTACAATTCTATCTATAATTCACAAATTATGTTAAGTAATTTTTAGCATATTCGGCAATTTCTTAAACACTTTATAAACAATATAGTACAATATTCCGTAATTGATCCGAAAAATCGTTCAAGCTATTTAACTATAAGTTTAAGAAGACATACCTTAACTAAACAAAAACCTTGATTGTCTCAGTAGGCAGATTTTGTTCCCAAAACAAATGTTTCTTGTTTTTTTTTTATTTCTTGCTTTACACTTTCATTTATGTTATTGGGTGGTTTCAATTGGTTATAATAAAAGAATTTTGACATTTTTTTTAACATTCTTAACAATTTTTGCTCCTTTATTTTTCCCTTACATTTAACAATCAAAATCGGCACCATTGGGTCTGCTGTATGAAACTTACAAAAACAAAAAAAAATAAAATCCTTTTTTCATTTTTATTTTTGCATAACATCCGGCAAAAAAGTTTAAATTTATTTATTTGGTTTTTTTTCCCCTAGTAATTTGTTTCCAAATAAAAGTTATAAAATCAAAAACACTTTAAAAAAAATCTTTTTCGCAGAAAGAGAATTTTAAAAACATGTAGGCACATAAGTACATCATACAATTGTGTATATATATATATGTTTGTAATTCGTATATAAATTTATGCTTAAGTTATATATTCGTACGTTTAAATATAAACCCATTCATATGGAACGTGTTTTGGAAATTTGATGAAAATTTTTCTTTTATCTTCTTCTAAGCTAGTGTTTCCCCTCTCTCATTTTTAAAGTTTTTGTACTTTTTTTTTTGTTTCCTTTTTGCTCAGGGTCATTTATAAGTTTATAACTTTCATATCCCTTTTTAAATTTTCTTTTTTTTTTAAATACTATTAGCTACATGTACTTGTGTGTACTATATATGTATATACATATATGATTACATGATGATATAATGTAAGATTTTATAGTAAAACATTATGAAAATGGACAAAAATTAAGAAACTTTTACCACTTTGCACTTTTACCACTCATATAAATTTAACAACAATATAACAAATTCTTCATGTACAAATTATTAATTAAAGAGGCTGCAAAAGGTTTTTTCTATATATGTATGTACGCTTAACGTTCAAGAGTTTTATGCAACTTGGCACTCATATTTGGTATGTAATAAAAGCAAATATTATTTATGAGTACATACTTTAATAATAAATTGTACTTTTTTATTTTTTAAGTTCTATCCTTTATAACACTTAATTTTTCAAAAGATGAATGCATTTATATGTAGATCAAAAGCTAAATTTTGTTATCTTTACATTTTTCGGAATTTTCAGAAAATTATTGTGAATAGGGAAAAACTACTTAATTAAGCATTTAATATTATGCTAATATGGAATATTTATTTAAATTGGAATATTCTAGTTAAAATAGAATACACCTGTGAACTAAGAAAAAATTATCTGTGGTTTCTGGAGTATTCAAAGGAGTCTCACTATTAACTCCCAATGAAGTAAAAAAATCAATTCAGTTAAAATAGAATACACCTGTGAACTAAGAAAAAATTATCTGTGGTTTCTGGAGTATTCAAAGGAGTCTCAGTATTAACTCCCAATGAAGTAAAAAAATCAATTTTTTATTCATTTTTAAATAGTCTAATAAGCTATATTGTTAAATTATGGGGCTCCTCCATCAACCAAAAAAACAATTAATGCTCTACAAGTGATTCAAAATCGAACTATATAAAACCCTATTTAATTAAAATCGGTGGGAACAGACTCAATTGATTTCACAAGCAACTATCATATTATTAATTGAAGGTCTAATAAAACTAAAATTAACTGTACACATTCATGAATTGCAAACTTCGAGCATTCATTCGACAACCGTATTAACCAAAATACGTGAAATGCATTTAGTAAATACGAGAAAAACGTGAATCGAAAAAACACCGTGCATTACGCTTCATCAATTTTAATGAGTCTTGGTATGAAATAGTATACGCAGTTTTGAAATTGAATTTAAATTACTGTTTGCTTAAAAAAAAGAGTTAGACTTTTACAATCGACGCTATAGTCCTAAACCTTTCCAAAACAATTACTCACAATTCAACTTACTCATTTAAAAAATGTCATTATAAAATATGTCAATTATTTTATATGACTCAGTTTAAGCATTTGTCTTGCATTATTTAAAATTTAAATATTATATATTTGTATTGCCTATATATATATACAAATTTACATTATTCAAAAAAAAAAGGAAACTTATTTTTATAGATTGATTTATTTTAAAATTTTTATTATAAAACTTTTCAAGAGAAATATTGTTATATTCTGCAAATATATAAATTGCTATATAAAAAATGGTGTCGTAAATTAAATATTATGTAATTTATACTACGAGTTTTTAAATAACTAATGAAAATTTTTAATGTATAATTTTATTGAAGAAATAAATGTTCCGTAAAATAGTTTCAAATTTATTTTACTTTAAATTATATAAACTTTACGATACTATATTCATCTTAAAATATAATAAATAAAAACATACATAATATAACAATCCATTTTGGCATCATTCAGATTTGCTTCTATTAGGCTGTTTTTTTTTGAGATTTTCCCTTAAAAATTTCTTATTTTTATTTCAACCTTTAAATTAATTGTTGCCATTTTAGCTTTTTATATATAATCACATGAAATTTTTAATTTAAAGCCATCTTCTTTAATATTCGACCGGAATATCACCAATTGCATGTTCCATATTGCCTTCCGAAACTGAAATCGGTTGTTGACAAGTACTCTTGTTTATGAGTTATTATATACAAATAAATAACAGAAATTTGTCTAAACTACAGAAAATTTTTCTTACCGAACTTTAAATCATTTTATTAATTAATTAGCTCAATAATTTTGAAAGTTTTTTTGGGTTTCATTACCTGCTGGTCATAATAAAACGACAAACGAAGCTGAATTGTTGTTTAACATAGACAAATGCAACAGATGATTTATACGAGTACAACGACTCAAATAGAAAAATTAAATATTATTTCCTGTTTGATTGCTGCTAATGCTCAATAATCGATAATTTTTCGGTATATATTGGCAATTCTACAATATGCTATTGTATCAAAATCTATTAATAAAAAAATTCTGTTAATTTATAAATTAAAATTGAAATAATTTTATATTCAATGTCATTTATTGTCCTTTCTTTGAATGTTAAGTTCAATCATATCAATTTAAATTGAAATATAATGAAAATATTCCAACATAA